ACGGCCGCAAATAGAACACTTATAAGTTTTGCTATACATGTGTGCATAATGAGTGGATGATTTTGACTTGGCACACATATCCATAAGCTTTTTATAATTATTAATGCATGTTCTCAAAGTTGAATCTAAAGATGAAATACTATTTTTCATAAGATTCAAATCTTTATTTTTAGGCACATATGCATTTTTAGAAGTAGAACATAAATAATCATTTAAACATGGCATCAATCTTAGCATGAGATAGGCTAGCAATAGATGAGATTAAATTTCCATTTTCCAAATTTAATAAGTCATTGCTTTCTTTAAGCATAGTATTTTCATTTTCAATGACATCAAATTTGGACACTAGCTTCTCATGATTGCATTCTAAAACATCATGCTTGCTTTTTAAATCATTAAAATTATTTTGTAATTTGTTAAAGGCATGCAATAATTTTTCACTAGCACAAGCAAGTTCATCACTAGATAAATCATTATCAGGTTCGAACTCGCAAACCTCACTAGGGCTATCGCCTAGTGGCCGTGTGCATGAAGCTCCTTTAGAACTTGAAGCGGGATCCTCCAAAGCTTGTCGGATCGCCTCCAAGTCCCCTTGATGCGCTTCTATGAATTTCCACAATGTATAAGCGCTATCAAAAGAATCAAGCTTGTTAGACATAAATGAATCAAATCAAACTTGTCAGACATAGATGAATTAAAAGCATTTAGCAAATATTCTAACAAAATATTGTTCATTGTAAACATACGATGATCATTCTTATTTCACTTGGATTTCTCCAAAGTGGGCACAATATAAGCATCATCTATAATTTCCCATAAATCAAAGTGTTTAGATTGAACAAAAAGTTTAAATCTAACACACCATTGGGCATAGGGGAAATTATCTAATCTAGGAGCAACACTAGAATCATAGCCTAAACAAGATGCATCATTCATATCCATAATTTGTAAAAATATGCAAGCAAGATGCAAATGCAATCAAAACAAGATTAGCACAAAAAGATAACTTGGATCTTTAACTCAAGGCGATTAGACCTTAAATCAAAGAGCACCAAGCTCTGATACCAATTGTTAGACCCTAGAGGGGGGGTGATTAGGGTCTTATGCTAATCTAATCCGATTAAATGCCAATTAAAAATAATTAACAAGTTGTATTCTTGCAAGGTAGATATATAAAGAGATATGTGCAAGAATAAGCAATATACACAATGAGATATATCCTATATGATGAATATATATATGTAAGGATATATAAACTAACACAAGGGGTAAACAATATGAACTAAATAGTGGATCATATAAATAATGAGCTATGGACAATGGCGATATAAGATATGAACATAAATATAAATGAACGCCAAAACACACTCAAACACACTATATGATCACGGAGTTCGGACCTTCCGTCCTACGTCTCCGCTCCCCACTCCCGGGGAGAAATCCACTATCACAACCGGGTTTTCTACGCTCACCCGAATAACGTTTACACCTCACAGTGTCGGTTTTCAACGCTCACCGATCAACGTTCACACTCACCCTCACAATGTCGGTTTTCAACGTTCACCGATCAACGTCACTCCTCACACTCGGTTTCTAGCTCACCGAAAACCTCACTACACACTCGGTTTCTAGCTCACCGAAAACCTTACAACACCTTATTGCACTCCTTGTCACATACATCGTCCATTGATCCATGTCATCTTTGATCTCATGAGCGGATGGTTGCGATTTCTTCTTGTTTAGTTGTGGAGTTTATGGAGGTTGTCAACTAGTTATCGAGTAGTTTTTTCATTAACATATAAAAAAGGTTGTTACAGTATATTTGCTTCTTTCGAGCAGTCCAAGAGATTAGTTTGCATTGAGAGTTATAGGTCTTTGATCAAGTTGTTGTCTTGTAAAATTACTTTACCAAATTGATCTATAAAGATAATGTATTCGGAAGCAAAGTTAGTTGAACCTGTTTATGAACTAAAATCAAGCAATGGTAATGCAAAGTTTGTGTCAATGTTCTCATGTGATATATTGTTGTATTTGTTAGTATTTTATCACAAGCCTAGCACCAGGTCATGAGTGGCAATCGTTGGTTTTAGGTCTTAAAGCTTGCGAAAAAACCCCAAAAGTTTGTAAAAAAACCCCCCAAAAGTTTACGAAAAGCCCCCAATTGTTTGCAAAAAGCCCCCTAGAAATTTACAAAAAACACCTCAAAAGTATTATATACATAGCTATTATAGTTAAATGGGTAAATGGGCGGCCCGTTTATTAAATGGGCGGGCAAAAACCCGCCCATTTAAAAAATATTAAATGGGCCATAAATGGGCAAATGGGCAAAACATGCCCGTCCATTTATGGCCCGCCCATTTAATGCCCAAACCCGCCCATTTAACATCCCTGGTGATTAACTTATTGCTTGTCCTGCTCACTTTTATTTATTCCTCAAGGCCTTCTTAGTCCTTCATATGCAATTTCTATTTTCGCTTTGAGTGATTCTTTACCTTCCTTCTGTGTGGGTTGGTGTGCCATCACTCGTGTGCTTCCCGAACAAGGTTGATGCTGTTGATGATCCTGAATTGCTGGAACTCGTGGAAATAGAACTACGTGGTATGAAGCAACAAGTCACAACTAGATAAGTAATAAATTAATAAATGTGTGTTATGATGTTGTTGATACGCTTGACTTATGGGAATTCATAGAAATGGAGCATCGCATGGAGTCATAAATAAAAATTGAATTTACGCATGCTTGTGTGTATTGGTGATTCGTAGAAATGGAGCATCGCATGGAGTCAATCCAAATAGCTTTCATCCTAGAATAGAAGGGGGATTTTTATTTTTTTGCAAATCATTCCATGATGTTTTACTTCGGTTTTCCAAATGTAAGGAGGGGGGCGCACCCCTCAATCCAGACACATTATCGAGTTCCTTAAATTGCAAAAAGGACATTAAAATGGATATTAGTTGTTTACTCGAGATTTTGGAAAAGTTTTTCAGGTTGGCGAAAATGACTCGGTCATCATCATGACACATGAGCCTAATTGGCTTCTTGATTGGTACTGGAACAGTAATAGTGGGATAAATGTATCACACTTAATTCGTGACTACTTGAAAGGCAGATGTAAGCTTCGTATGGCTGGAGATTTGCACCACTACATGCGGCATTCTTGTGTTAACTCAGATAAGCCTGTCCATGTCCAGCATTTACTTGTAAATGGTTGCGGTGGGGCCTTCCTTCATCCTACACATGTCTTCAAACATTTCAACACATTCTGTGGAAATTCTTACAAGAGCGAAGTTACTTATCCATCTTTTGATGATTCTAGTAGAGTAAGCTCCATTTTGTTAATTCTCCTTCCAATTGAGAAAATATTAGAAGACCAATGTTGTCATTTACCTAATTCTTTTTACCGTGGATTATTCTTCCAGATCGCACTGGGTAATATTCTGAAGTTTCGCAAGAAGAACTGGCAATTTGATGTCATTGGTGGCTTCATATACTTTATATTGGTATTTTCGATGTTTCCCCAGGTACCGGGTTCTCTTGAATGTTTGATGCCTTTATTAACTTGAATAAAATCTAAGTTGCATTAAAAATGATATGCAGCTCAATGACGGGAATTAAGCATATTGCTAGGCGAATCAATTCTCCCACAAGAATTATCAATTCATCATCTATTCTTCTTTTTTTCTCTATTAAAGTGGGGTTGGCTATGAGCTGTGGGTTCACATCTCAAATGCTCATCGAGATATAGGAACAGAATTCAATTTATACGAGTTTGAATCTAGTACAGTTTTTTGAGAGAGATGATAAGATGATATAAGTATCTTTCTTATTAACTACGAGGATTAATTATGTTCTTTCTGCAGATGTTACATCATCAGTAAAATAAAAATTATATATTAGTATTTAAGTCCATTCAAGTTTAGATTTTTTACCCCGGGCTTGGTTGAGGACTGACATTTAATATTTCACTCTCAGTGTAATGTTTTCAACATCTTGATTGATGAATCTTGGTCTGGCCGCTTGAAGAGCTTCTTTAGTACAATGCAGAGTGCTTTTATGTTCATGATAGAACACTCTTACGTATCTTTCATAGGATTTCTAATGCTGATTCTATGTTCATATTCATTCGTGCCTACGAAATTGTCACGGAAAAGGCGAGCTATGCTTGGTATTCTTCATGTTTCTGCACATATGGCTGCTGCACTGATACTAATGCTGCTGTTGGAATTGGCTATCGATATGTGTATACGCAATCGTCTACTAGCAACTTCAGGTGTGCTTTCTTTCATAGGGTCTTTATAATCTTCAATGTATAAGATATGCATATAAGATTGACTGATAGCAACCTTTGAATGGTGTCATATAGCCATCATAAGACTTAATTGGATTTCTGCAAAAATAATTCTGAAGTTAGTTTCTACATAGAAAATATCAGTAGCTGAGTTGATTGGAGGAAAAGATTGATATTACTGACAATAGCTTTGTGATTATTATATTATATCATCAATGTTGTGCTTAGTAAGGCTGTGATTATGAAATTTGGTTGGAGCTTTGTGATTATTATATTATATCATCAATGTTGTGCTTAGTAAGGCTGTGATTATGAAATTTGGTTGGCAGATTTAGTATAGCATCTTCTATTTCCAATGTTGTGCTTAGTAAGGCTGTGATTATGAAATTTGGTTGGCAGATTTAGTATAGCATCTTCTATTTCGATTTTCGTTTTTTCTGAACTTGGATTTCTAGGACTGAGATATCTTATGCATGTAGGATCTGAAATAGATACACTAGAACACTAGAAGGGGGGTGAATAGTGTTCTTTTAAAATATATACAAAGTAGATTATAAATTGCAAAGAAAAATGGCAATCTCAGAAATTTACAATCACAAACACAAAGTTTTATACTGGTTCCACCAACCCGGTGTACATCCAGTCCCTAAGCAAATCCCGCATGAGAGTTTCCACTATGATTTTGAAACCTTACAAAATCAAAAGCAAACCTAACCAATTTGCAAGTCCCTGCAAATTACAACACCAATTGGCAAGACCATGCCAATTGCCACCCAATCTCTAAACCAAGAGATCAACCCTCTCAAACCCGAGAGAAATCCTTTTTGAAGCAAGAACACAATTGATCCTATAAGTCTTGAATGTGTAGTGAAGTACAGCAGTGGCTTAGGATTCTTTTAACTCTCTGAATATTGCCTATACAATCTCTAAGAATGATTGAAACCAAGACAATATCAGAAACTCTTTTTTTCTAAACACTTAGCATGAAAATCTGGAAAACTAGAGAGAATATGCACAAATGTTTGATCTTATGTGTATGAATTAGTTGTTCAAATTTTTGAACTTATAACCTATTTATAGCCCTTGAAAAGACAAGTTTTCAACCCCTAAAAACGTACACAAAACGGCTATAAACAATCACTTATTCAAAACCTAAAATCTGAAAAAACTACATCTGTAGTCGATTACAAGTCATAGTAGTCGACTACACTGAGTCTAAACAGACTCTGTGAAGTCAGAAAATTGCTTAGTAGTCGACTACAAGGCATAGTAGTCGACTACACTGTAAACTCACAGATTCTGGAATTTTCTTTTCAGTATTTTGACTGTAACTTTCTAATCCGATATCGGAATGAGGTGATTTAAGATTTGTTGGAAAGTTGTTGAAGAGACCTACAACTTTGGTCTTTTGAGTTTTTCCAGATTCTAATTTCTAAGGGGTGTAAATGAAATATTTGAAGACTCACTCAATATCTATAAACTCTAATGGCTAACATAGGGGATTTCTATTGTTAACCAGCACACTAAGCATGTGTTAGTGTGTTCTAACACTATGTGTGTGCATGTGTGTGAGTGATCAAGGTTTGTACAAATTTCTAAGCAAAGAAAATATAAAATTACATTTTGACAATAAAGTATATCTTCTTCTTTGCTTTATTTTGCCTTGAACTCATCTATGTCTTGAGTATCTCTTTGAATATAATTGTTGATATAGCTCTGATACTGCAAAACAAATGTTAGCACATAATACACACAACATATAATATTTGTTATCATCAAAACAAACTAATCTTGGGGTCAAGATTCCTAACAATGCAGACAACACAGCTGATGATGATTGTAACTATTTCAGGTTATCACACCCTTTATGAGTGGTATCGGTCTATCGAAAATGAGCACTTCCCAGATCCCACTGGTCTTCGAACTCGCATAGAAAAATGGACGTTTGGGCTCTATCCTGCATGTGTGAAGTATCTTATGTCAGCTTTTGATGTCCCAGAGGTATCACCTATTCTATACCTTCTCCAAATATTTATTTCCCCAGATTCTATTAATTGATGTTATATTTGCTTCAAAAGGTTATGGCGGTTAATAGACGCAATATTTGCAAGAAAGGAATGGAGTCTTTATCTCGAGGAGCAGCCATTATATATTATGCATCTCTGTTCCTTTATTTCTGGGTTTTGTCTACTCCTGTTGTATCTCTGGTATTCGGGAGCTATTTGTGCATCTCTGTTCCTTTATTTCTGGGTTTTGTCTACTCCTGTTGTATCTCTGGTATTCGGGAGCTATTTGTACATCTGCATCAATTGGTTCCATATTCACTTCGACGAAGCTTTCTCCTCTCTTCGCATTGCAAATTACAAGTCCTTCACCCGATTCCATATCACTAACAGTGGTGACCTAGAAGTTTTCACCCTCGCAGTCGATAAGGTAGTAGCTTCACTATTGGATTCAAAAAATTTAACCTTTATTTCTCAAAGCATAAAATTGTGGCGATTATATGTGATAAAACTTTACTCTGATTTTCTCAGTCTTTGGTTCCAACAGTTGAAAATACTTGTGCGAATAATAAACTTGTATAAGATCGCTCCAATATCTTCGTCAAACATGAAAACTTGTGTTCAGAATTTGTATTCAAGCTTTGATTAAGTAACCGATTCATTTTTCGATCGAGGCACATCTTTTCTGATGGAAGAATTTTTGTTGGTTTAGGTTCCGAAAGACTGGAAGCTAGATCCTGAATGGGATGCGGAACCGAAACAGCCTCTTCAACCGAGCTATCTCAGGAGGTTTCCAAGTAAATGGAGGGCCTCTAATTCTCCCGACCCTGTCAATTCTGTGAGGATTGTTGATCATTTTGTAATTCAACAATCTCCAAGAAACCCCATCACTTGATTAGAATATGACAGTCATCTTCCTAATGTACAGTGTTGTAGCTAGCAGGTGTAGCTTAGAACAAGAGGAGATGTAGGAAGCTTCAAAGTGAGAGAGAGAGAAAAAAAAAAAGCTATGTCACGTATCAATTGTTGTTGCATTTGGGGACCTCACCTTTGTATGAGAAAATATCATTTAGGCTACATATTATCAGAGAAATGCTTACTCTTGTCAATTTTCAATGTAGAGCCTTGTACTTTCTGATATTCTGCGCCACCTCCCCCGTGGCAGTGGGAGATTTGGGACGTTTGCACATTGTATTGTAACTAATGATAACTAATCAAGGATTAATCAGTGCCCCCTCTATGATCTTAATCAAATCAATTAGCTGAGCTGTTGAGCCTGTTCATAGACTTACTTGAAGGGGAAGATAAATGCTCTTTAGTGAAGACAAAGAAAGGCATATGAGAGGGATATGATATAAATGCCCTTGCTTACTATATAACCCCCGTAACTTTCAAAATATGAGAAAACCCCCTAAAGTTTAGGGGTTATTAGAAACCCCCTTCAACTTTCAACACATATTTCATAAAACCCCCCCCCCCCCCTTAATGGAATAACGAGCAATTCCCACATTGGTGAGTAAAATTGCACAGGGAAAACTTTTGTTGGTTGTGGTCCATGCTTTTAGAGAGTTTTCTGAAAAGCATTGAAAGTTGAATGGGGTTTTTTGCCACCCCTAAGTTTTCTGATATTTTGAAATTTGTGGGGTTATCTGATTAATTTGTGCTTCACAGTTTTTCCTTTAGGTAATATGTAATCAGAAAATGCTCATTTGATCAAACGAAAACTTCAGATTGCCACCAGTCATAATAGAAATTTTGCAGCCAACACCTTTGTTAAAGCAGGGTGTCAATGTTTCTTCATGTTCTAAAAATCAGAGCTATTTACAAATTAATCCGGAAAAATCCAAAACTACAAAAAAGAAAAGATATCTACAAAATTACAAGAAAAGGCAACAAGCAAAAGCACATATGCTTGAATTTGCTTGTGCGTGAATGTGCCCCTTGTGCTGCTCGGTTCTTCAGCAAACCTTTAGGGGGCAAAAAAAAGAAAGAAAGAAAGAAGGTCACTATTAGTTTCGTACACGGTATTCTACAAGGAAATACAGAACGTTATCCCAAAATATAGCAACTTAAACATAAATATAGGAATTACACGAAACCATTACAAAACACTAAACTGTTGAAATACAGAAAGTGCAATTAAAAACTAATTCAGGGAGAAAAAAAAAATAGTGTATACAAAAAGACCAATCCTTAAAATCTGTACCTCGAGAGCATTTCTACCCAAACCTCTGGCAAGGATAACCAGAACCACTTCCGTCTTCTCCTCGTGTACCTATATACGTACACCATATTATGAAACAAATCAGAACTCTCAAAAATTTACGCGAAAAATAAAACGTATAATATCGAAACTCACAGTTGTCTTCATTTTGCGTATCGTTCGACATGCCCTCCGAAAACAAACCACTATCCAGGATGCTATTGACATCCATCCCAGTTTCGCGAAGCAAAGAGGCGTTGGCCGCGTTCATGATGTCT